CCAGCACAGAAGATCAACATCATCAGGCCAGGATTCTGCGGTCTACACACATCTCCAGGCCAGCCGTCACTCTTTCAGGGAGGAAGATGTTCACATCCTGGACAGAGAGGAACGATGGTTTGAGAGAGGAGTAAAGGAGGCCATCTTTGTGAAAAGAAATCTTCCATCAATAAACAGGGGTGGAGGCCTCCGGGTTCAACTGTCCCCCTCTTACACTGCTGTTATTGCTAGTACCACTCAACCCCCTGTGAATAGTAAACAGCCATCAGTGTGCTAATGATCCATTGTTAGGCTGATGGTCCTTCTTGACCATGTGAGCAGCTGGTTTTGGTTGTCAGCAGCAAACTGTTTGATCCACTCTGAGAAGGTGCTATTTAAGAGACTGAGCTGAATACAGCACCTCAGACTGAGGAAGTCTCTCGGATAAGAGACGAAACGTTTCTATATCTTTTTGCTTCGTTTTGTTTTTTGTTTTTTTGAATGTCCAGAGGACCAGATTGAACTTTTTTGGATAAGTGGAAATAGGTTTTGAATAATAAAAGCAATTTATTTTGCATGAGAACATGAGTCTGTGGTGAGCAGATGGGCATGAATGAATTGATTCATGAGATAATCAGCAGCACATATAAGTCACATATCACCAATTAAAGTGGCATTGCAATGTTTTTTTCCCCACAGTAATTATCCTGGTTAGAGATTTATGAGTCTAACAGCCTCAGCGTAGAAGCTGTTCCTCAGTCTAGTGGTTCTACACTTAATGCTCCTCAACCTCCTTTCTCAGGGGAGTGGGGCAAAAAGTGTGTGTGCTGGGTGAGTGAGGTCCTTCGTGATGCAGGTAGCCCTCTTCCTGCATCTAGAGGTGTAGATGTCTGTGATGGTTGGGAGGCTAACTCCAACAGTCTTCTGTGCAGCCTTCACCACTCTCTGCAAAGCTTTTCTTTCTGTAGTCATGCAGCCTCCATGCTACACGTTGATGCTGGAGCACAGGATGCTGTCCACTGCACACTAGAGGATGACATTTTTTCGGGAGTACTGCCGGTCACGTGAATCCGGCCGGATTCCGGCGGGACCGGAGTCAACTTTATTATAACTCCCGTTATCGGGACCGGACAGGACGAAAACTTAACGGGAGCAGACGGGAGCGGGAGCCAACATAGGACAAAAAAAGAAATAGGCAAAAAAAATAATAATAATAAATTTCAGACAGGCGGCTGCGCCAACAGCTTCCGGCGCCTTTTCCAGCAGCTACTTCCGGCCGCCTTTTCCAACCTTTGTTTACTGTATCAACCAACATCATGGAGGGAGCATACGCCAGCGGAGAAACCGAGAGGGTAAAAAATATTTTGCAACGCAAAGTTAGGAATAATGACGCATCTGTTAGGTTAACAGAACTGTCAGGGAAGGCGCTAATAGTTCAGAACTTTATGAGAGTCGAGTGTGACGGTGTGAAGACGCTCTACGCTGCTTGCAAAACATGCTCAGTTATAATAAAGTACGTCACTGACTCGGAGACGAGCGGTCTGAAGAGGCACACTTGCAAGGCTAATTTCGGAACGAATCAGCCAAGCATTTCTTCATTCATTAAACGAAAAGTACCGTCGGGAGTCAAGTCTCGTATGACCAACAAAATAGCCCGCATGTGCGGCGTAGATTTGAGACCATTTGCTGTAGTAGATGGGAAAGGTTTCATCGACGTCATACAGGAGGCAATCGACATTGGAGCAAAGTATGGAAACAACGCTGAGGCACAAGACATACTGCCATGTGGACGCACGGTCTCCCGTCATGTTCAAGGAGAATACGATAAAATTAAAAAAATGGTCATGGAAGAGCTCCATCAGGTATGTCTGTCACGCTGCTCTATTTTATAATACAGTACACACATTTTACCTTGACATCATGCAGTAGTCTAATTATAGATTTCCTAACACTAAATCTGTTTTTTCTCCTCCTTTTAAACTGCTTAATCTCTCAACTATAAATTAGTCATCTGTTTTACATGTAATATACTTTGAGAGCTAATAACAATATACGTAATTCCTTTGGTGCAGACTAGAGACCATGCAATCACGACAGACCTTTGGACAGAGGAGAGGACAAACACACACTACATCACCGTTACAGTCCATTACATCTTGGATGGGAAGATGGTGAACCGTATTCTGGCCACAAGGGAGATGGAGGGTGTCAAATCTAATGAACACATCAGAGGGACTGTGGAGAAAATCAGGTATCTCACACTCAAATGAGATAATTATCTTTATTTACTTGGCATATTAGCTTTGTAGAGGTCTAGTACAGAGCTGTATGAATGGGTAAATGAGGCACAGATTGTAGTGTAAAGCGCTTTGAGTGTCTTGAAATAAGACAAAGGCGCTATATAAGTACAGTCCATATGCAATAAATATTGCCAATTAATTCGTAAAATTGGGAAAAGTATGAGAACATGGTGCAGCAATAACAAGAACATGTCACAGAAGGAACAATAGAAAAGACAAATATATATATTTTTCATTCAACCTTTACAGGCTAACCTCATTGAGTCACGAGGACTCGTTTTCAAGAGACCTGTTCCAATCCAGACAGACAGAACATATAAAGTACAGACAACAATAACAGAGAACAATAATAACGATAAACTACAGTAAAAATGCTGTAAAAATACAGTTAAAATAAAAGTAGTGTCTAAAAAAATAAATCAATGTGCCATAAAAAATGTAAAATACTAAAAACAAGAATATATTTGCTTTGAGATTTCTATTGACATTAAGAAATGTTTAAAACCCCTCACAATAAATTAAGGTGGACAACTTCAGTTCCTGCTGAAAGGTGTTCCAAGTTGCAGGAGCAGACTAACCTGGAATATAACTAAGTGCATCAGTAAGCGTTTGTCACGGTCCTTCGCTATACATCAGTCTGTGCCGTGGTAGGCAGCAACTTAGGCAGATTACCATAGTATTTTACCTTAATTGCAGATGGAGTTTTCCTTCATTTGATACACAACACATGTGTAATATGTGTAATATGTTTTGTCCTAATGTAGTACTATAAATTTATTGAAAAGTGCTTCGTACAATTACATGACTGTTGATCAATCTGTTTAATGATTATCATATGTCTGGTCTTCTTATTTGCTAAGTTTTTGGTTTGTCTTTGTTTTGTTTTTTTACCTAACAGGAATTTGGCATCCTGAGCAAGCACACTGTGTTTGTGACAGATAATGGCTCAAACATGATCGCTGCTTTCAAGGATTATGTGCGACTCTCCTGTGCCGGCCATAATATCAACTTGATCTTAAAACACGTATTTGACCACTTGGATGAGGACAACCCAGTACACAGCAGCGTCATCAAGCTGTTTAAGGACGCAAAGACCCTGGTCACACATTTCAAAAGGGCAGGGTAAGATGCATAAAATCTTGTCATCTCTGCCTGGTGAGGCTGCTTAAATAATCATAAAATATGATAAGTGAAATAAATAAAGAAAAATTGAGGTACTGTAATTTATAACTGCAAAGGTCACATTTTCTTGACTTAGTTTCAGTTGTAAAGCTCTTCTTTTTAATAAAATATTTTTTCCAAAAGAAAGGCCAATAAATTGCAATTTTTATAGTCCCTGTAACCCTATTTTGACTTGTGCATGGTCTTCTTTCAATTTTAGGTTACAAAAAGCACTGGACCAGTCACTGAAGCTGTGGAGACGAGGTGGAACACCAGACTTGACATGCTCCAGTCAATAAATGATGCTCTCAAGTCTGGTAAGCTGCACGACATCCTGCTTCGCAGAAGCGAGCTCCGTTACCTCAACAACATAGACTGTGACCTTCTTGAGGACGTCATCCAGCTCCTGAAACCTTTTGATGAGGCTACCAGGCACCTCTCCATCGATCAGGCACCTACTCTTCACCTCGTCCTCCCAACCAAGGCAACCCTGCTGCAGGGTTTGTTGATCCAGGATGGAGATAGTGCAATTGTGAAAGAGGTAATTTAATACTTTGTTTATTTTTATTGTTTAGTTTGATCATTCAAGTAGCTAACAGGAGTTTGGCCCTATTCAATAACAGTGATAAAGGCAAGAACAGAACTGAGTCTGATGTTGTCCAAAATAAACATTGTACAAGTTAAATTTGAAATAAATTTAAAACTCCTCCACGCCTAAAATAAAGCACAGTGCCTGTCCGCCTGAGAATTTTTTATGTCCCGTAATAATGATGTTGCATACATCATTATCATATCACTGCATGTGTCATCATGTGGTTTCACTCCTCCTCTAGCTGAAAGAGAAGTTGGCCCAGGCAGTGGAGTTGAAATTCAAAATCCACCTGTACCATGAGCTAGCCACAGCTCTCTCTCCTAGCCTGAGGAGTTTCTTGAGGAAAACGCTCTCCGGTCAGGAGTATGAGGAGGTCATCAACACCCTGGCAGCACTCACAGAAACAGCAGGGACAGAGGAGAGAGCGAGGAGCCTTGAGAAGAAACAGGGTGAGTAAAACTAGCATCAACAGAGCACTCACAGCAATTCTAAAATGTAATAACAACATTTCTTCCTATCATTTATTTAGAGGCATTCATTCACACACACGTCTGTATAATCTAATGGGTAATGTCCAATATAGGTAATGTTCTATAAGAATCTCTTTTTTTTTTCTCTCCAAAGGTCCACCCCGAGAGGGAGTTCCCAGTCCCACAGAGGTGCACGACTTCTTTTCCTTTTGTGTTGAAAAGCAGCAACAGGAGGGGGACAGTGGTGGTATTTCAGAGTCATGGGGCCGCCAGTTCGTGGTAGAGTACATGAGTGACTCTAAGTTGACAGGCTTCCAGTCTCTGCTCAACTTCTGGCATGAGAGGTCTGATGGGCTAGTGCCAGTTGCCAGGAGGCTGCTAGCAATCCCAGCAACAAGCACTCCTTCTGAGCGTAGTTTCAGTGTTGCTGGGAGACTGATTGAGGAGAGGCGTTCCACCCTCAATCCAGAAAATGTAGATGAACTTTTGTTCCTACATAGCAATTTATAATGACAACTATTCATATGTGCTGAAGAGTGGAAAAGTAGACTGATATGCACGGTGGCTGACAGACACACAGCAAACAGTTAAAACGTGCTGCAAACACAGGAATGAATCAAATTCCAAAACAAAAAAACAAATGCAACAGAAACAAAAATCTGCAGTCACAGAAAATAGATGACACACAATCAAAAAAAAAAATGCAAAGGAAAAATGCTTCAAATACAAATAACACCAAAACAACTGCTGGTCTGGTCAACAGAACCCTGCAAATACATTACAGCTGAGTGGCAACTGGCCCAAAGTTGGCTTATTTTATGAGTTTAATGTGCACTGAGTAGAGTACTTTTCAGCATTTTCCTTTGCATTCGTTTTTTGGGTTGTATGTTTTATTTTCTGTAATTGCAGGTTTTTTTCTTTCGCTGCATTTGTCTGTTGCATTTGTTTTGTTTTTGTTGTTGTTTTAGAGTTTGCATCATTTATGCTTTTGCAATGCTTTTTAACTGTTAGCTGTGTGTGCAGTAGCTGACTGTTTGCAGCATGTTAGCAGTTTACATTTGTTGGCCACTGTAGTATTACTGTTTGTTTAGCTGTTTGCAGCATGTTAGCAGTTTGCACCTGCTGACCACTGTAGTATTGCTGTGTGTGTAGTTGTTTGCAGCACATTTGCACCAGTCAACCACCATATATATATGGCAGTTGTATTTTTATTTAGTATTTGCATTATATGCACATTTTTTTTCCTTTTTCAAAAACTCAGGTACAATATGAATGTAATGCCTTTATGCAGTTTTGTTCATTGATGACAGTTTGTTTGGTGCAATTTTTTTGTTTAGTTTTTTATTTAAGCAATTTAAACCATGACAGGAACGTTACTGTCTAAAGGGAAGGAAACAATTGCTCAATAAATTAGTAAAAAGCAACTTCTATTTGTTATGTTTGGGTTCTTTCATCTAAGGTAGACATGGTGTGACCCATGTACTGGTTTTCATTTTTTGTTTTTACTGTAACTGACCTTCAAAAAAGCCAGAAACAGGGACTCAGCAGCTAATCCTCTGTAGAAAAACTATAAGGACTACAGGCCATGGATTTGTTTTGTGACCTTTAGTCAAGGTTTTTGTTTGAATTAAGGCAATAAATGCCTCCATATTTCACCACAGATTAACTCTTCCTGTCATATCTTTTGAAATCAAACTGCAGAACACAAAGTAATTTAAAAAGGAATGGTTAGAAAATCAATTCAAATTCAATGCATTTCTTAAAAATTAAATGAAGAGGAAAAAAAAACAGGAGCAGGACAGGAGTGGGAGTGATTCTGACCAGGAGCAGGACAGGAGCAGGAGTCATGTTACCAGGAGCAGGACAGGACAGGATTAATTTTTTTACTCTGGACCAGGATTGGGACAGGACAGGATTTTTTTCTGTTGGACCAGGACAGGACAGGAGTGAAAATCTACTCCTGTGTCATCCTCTACTGCACACCTGTAGAAGGAGGTGAGGACTGAGCTTCCCAGACCAGCTCGCCTCAGCCGTCTGAGGAAGTAGTCTCTGATGAGCTTTCTTGATCGGGCTGGTGGTGGTGGTGTTGCTCCAGCTGAGGTTGTCATTTATGTGTACACCCAAGTATTTGTAGATGGAGACCACTTCCACCGCAGATCCCCTTATGTTCAGGGGGGTGGAGATATTTTTGTTCCTTCTGAAGTCCACAATCATCTCCTTTGTCTTCTTCACATTGATGTGAAGGTTATTCTCTTTGCACCAGCTCTCCAGGTGTTCCACCTCTTGCCTGTAGCTGGACTCATCATTGTTTGTGATGCATCCCACCACCGCTGTATCATCTGCAAACTTTACAGTGAGACAGCCTGGATGGGTAGCTGCACAATCATACGTGAGCAGAGTAAACAGGAGGAGGCTCAACACACATCCCTGAGGAGGGCCAGTGCTGAGGGTTATGGTGGAGGAGGAGAAGTTGTGGATCCTCACTAACTGTGGTCTGTTTGTTAAGAAGTCTAGTACCCAGTTGCAAATGGAGGGGCTTAGTCCTAGTGTGGATAGTTTGTCCATCAGGGTTTGGGGGATCATGGTGTTGAAGGCGGATGTGAAGTCCACAAAGAGCATAC